TTCTCTAAAATTGTCTCCTTTCACATCCTTTCCTGATCTCTAACAATGTTCTGTTGTCTGCTTTCATTTCCACTTTCTGCCCCCACCCCCTCACCTCCTTTGCCCCCTCCTCTGGGCTCCTGACTCTTTCTGCAGTCTTTCTACTGCTACTCCTTGGCTCCCCCTAAATGATGTCTTTCTGCCACACCCCTGATCTTCTGGTAGGAAAGATCTACACCTAGCCTTCTCGGACAAGGGCGAAAAATCTCGGAGGGCCCGTGTGCAAGTTGCGCACGTTAAAGATCCCTTGGTGGTCTAAAATCGATAAGAGTAGGCTTCGGCCGCCACCCGGGCAAAATTCAAAATTTCCTACCAACGAAAAAGTATTAGGTGTGTCCCGCACGCTCATATGACCTTATGCAGTTGCGAGCGCCGTAAAACCCTATACTAAACAAACAAACAAAACATGTACTAGGCCTACTACTAGATCTAGAGGGTAACATATTAGATTTTACTCTATAGAAACAAACATCCTGTACAGTCTATTATCAAAAAGATCTGGACGGAAGAAAAAAACAATTCATAGGAGGACATAAGCCGAAAATATACTAAGCCTTGTTTGAAGACAACAAACTGACGAACAAAATGCAGAGTCGTTACAAATAAAACAAAGAATTAATTATGGATAGGCCCATATACAAGTCCTGCTTGCAGACGTTGTCTAAAGACAACCGGGTTTTATTGTCGCATGCAGCATTCTATCCGGTAAGAGCGGCCGATCCTAGATAAATTAATCATCGCTCTCGCCGGGAAATGAAAAATAAAATTCTAAAATGTCAAAAATTGCATCAAATCATATCTTTAAACTTTAAGGTTAGATTTGAGCTCAGCGTACTCGCAAACACCTGACAGCGGCGGGATTTGCGATATCCAGCGTACTATGACTTTGGTTTTTTTTTGTTTGTTCATAATTAATTAACAAGTCTGGTGAGCACGTGTGTATCACCACCTTATTTGCAAATACAACAGCAATGCTAATCGTTGTTTCTTTGACGGCGCCGTGTATCAAATGAAGTCAGTCCCTGAAGGCGACGGAATGGCGGGTGCCGTAGTGTTATGTAGTCTCTTTAGTCTTTTACATCCTTCAACCGCTTTCAATTTGCAGACTCGCCTGTTATAGTTGGTCAGTTTCAACAAGTATGAAAAACTGTTTGGCAGCGTGGACATGGAAGCATTATGGAAGCTTATGAGACACTACGGAACCCAAGTGAAACAAGTTAACTTGGCATTACCAACTTTTAAAAAAAGAATTAAGTGTCATTTTTATGAAGTTAACGTACACCATTCGGAACATTTCCGGGTTCCGAAAAGAGTAAAACTGTACAGGGATGCCTTTCTCTTACTTTTTCTTTGTACAAATTACTAACTGGATTATGGGGAAGACACAAAAAGAAAATGAAATGATCCAGTGGGCCTTATGGCATTTTGCTAATTACCTAGGCTTGTTGTTGCTAAACACCCAGAGATAGACGCACAAGAAAACAGATCGATGATCTCAGCTGAACTAGGAGTGTAGGCTCCTGTCCATAATCAGCAATTCTACAATGTTTATGTCTGAAATAACAACAGAGGAACCATATAGGTGTCTACATTAGGAAAGCATACCACTTAAGAGGTCGAAGATTTTACTTAGGCCTATGTAGAAAGTATAATTGACACAAAGGGGCGAATCGAACAAAGAAAGGAGATTCGTCCAACTGAAACAAGTGCGCAGATTTTCTCTGTTACTGTACCAACAAATTGAGAACGTTAACAGGGAAAACAGCGGTAAACAAAAATAAACAATCCTCCTCCACTAAAAAACAAAAACAAAAACAACCCAACAAAAAACAACACCAACAACAAAAATCCCAACAACAGCAAAGAAAAAACAACTAACAAACAAGAACAACAACAACAACAACAGAAAAAAGCAACAACTACAGAAAAAAAGCAACAACAACCCCCCCCCCCCCCCACTAAAAAACCACCACCACCAACAACAACAACCCCCACTCCAAAAACAAAACAAACAACAACAACAAAACAAACAACAACAAAATCGAACAAACAACTAAATAAATACATTGTAGACACTGTAGATTCCCGATTTTTCTTCTTCAATTATTGAACTATATTTCCAAAAACGACTAAACCGAAGAAAATACTGGCGGCATTCCCGCAGATTTCAGTTTAAACAGACCACTGTTTTGAACGAGCGCGTGTGTATGTGTGTGTGTGTGTGTGTGTGTGTGTGTGTGTGTGTGTGTGTGTGTGTGTGTGTGTGTGTGTGTGTGTGTGTGTGTGTGTGTGTGTGTGTGTGTGTGTGTGTTTGTGAGTGTGGTTAGACGATCGTTCAAGTGGTGACCCCCATCACTTTTCACTTTTCTTCTAAAACTAGCATAAGCATTTTATTTTTGTCGTGGCCGCGCGGCCACGATTTTTGGCCTTTTTTGGTCCGCGAATCGCGGCCGCGATTTTTTCATCTTTCCCAAAAAAAAAAAAAAAAAAAAAGTCGAGGAATAAAAAAAAAACACGAAAAAAACCGGGGTATAAAAAAGGACCAAAAAGTATTTAAAAAAAAAGAAACCGGGCCTCTTATTTTTAGAAATTTTTTAAAAACTTCCCCTTCACTTCATCTCTTTCTCACTTGTTGACACCACGTTAATTTGTTATTTTCATGTGAAGAATATTATATTAGGGACCATTCACAAATGACGTCAGCACAGAGGGAGAAGCGGGTGCTCAGTGAAAAGTTGACAAAATTTATTAAAGTTGATATTGGGGGGGGGGGGGGTCTCTACACAATTTACGTCAACCATGATACTCTAAAAAGTTTTGGGGGGGGGGGGGGGGGGGGGGGGGGGGGAGAAAAGAAAGGAAGAAAAAATATTATAGACCACATTTTTTTGGCCTAAGATATACACAGTTAAATTGGACCATGAATTATAATTTGACAGTTCAGGAATTTCTTTGTTGTATTCTTTAATAAACATTAGTTTTTATTTTGAAAAAATAATTAAATATAGATCAAAGATAAAAATATAAAATGCATCCTGTACAGATAAAGATATGAGGCATTATGAAAATACATGTAGATTTACGTGTTAGCTGACAGTGACTATAGACAGGTTTAATGATAGATTCTAAATATTACTGATGAAATTATACGATGTTCTGTTCCAGACAGTCTTGGCAAGAAAGGTGATCTCCAAGTAATGCGGGCTTTTCCCACTCTGACGGCAATTGCTCAATTCGCCGGGCTGGGTGACGTCACAGCTGAGTGTGCGATACGAAAGCACGCATCGTGACAGCAGCTGGTAACAACAACTTAGTGAGCCAGCGAGATATACTGAGATTTAGGAACGAGTTTCTGTGGTTCGACAACACATCGGCGAGCTCTTACTGTCTCTTTGAGCTTATTATTTTAAATAGGAAAAGTGCTATAATAAACGTTGATAAATATTAATTTGGATTTACTTGAAACTGAATACGAACTATTATCAGCAGCCAACAATCTCTGGTCCACTACGGCTGACTAAAAGTGCCCTGTTAACGAACCGCGCCTGAATACAGGGCCAATATAATATTGGTGTCCAGAGAAGAACTTACTCACTCAGACAAACTTGAACGGCACCGTATAATCAATCAGTAAATGATATTATCAGGCCCTTTTTTAAGCAACATATTATGCATGCTTTTAAGTCGTGTTCCTCTGTCGTTTACAATTCAACCCCTCCGCCCCCTTTTGTATCAATGCTCATATTCTGGCTGTTTTAGTTTCTAAAAATGTGTATGATGCAAAACGCGCATGGGGCCTTTTACTTTTTTAAAATAGGCCAAACAGAAGCAGACAGTCTTGGCGGGTTTGATTTGTTTCCCACGCAAACCCTTGACAAATGAATTGTTTTAGGCTTAGCCTAGCCGAGGCTATAATCGAAGAAAACACGACATAAAACCCTGAGTGATCTCCTGCATGTTAAAAGAAAGGATAGAATTTGATTAAAATTGCTTTGGATGTAAAATTAAAGAGAGTGAATATTGAAATACACGCATTGAATTTTTAAAATAATGATGATGATAGTAACAATAATAATAATAATAATAATAATAATAATAATAATAATAATAATAATAATAACAATAATTTAAAAAATAGTAATAATAATGATAATGTGTCATTTGTAACCAGCTTCTATCAATTCTAATCTGTTATCGACAGCCCCCCTCGATGGACCATAATTACAAAATACCTTACCCTAAAGTGTCCATTTCGATGAATGGCCTCATTGGCAAGGCAGAGGCCTGGCCAGGCCAAGGCCTAGGAGGCCTTGGCTTGGCTACCCTAAAAATAACCTAGAGTCAAAACATTTTCTTTTTTTAAAATACGCCTGGTAGGTTAGGCCTGATATCAATATAAATTGTAAGAAAAGATGAGACCAGCTTTTGAAATAAAGGTTTTAAAAAACATGGATTTATCAACCGAAATCAGGAAACCAACAGCGGAAATTAATTTATTCTCGTCTCTTTACGGAAATTGATTTTACGAAATAATCTTTAATCTCGTTTTAGCTAAATTTGCAAAATGAACAACTTTTGAGATAATTTTATATCATATTAATAATATGAATTACAAACAAAAGTAGATTATGCAATAATTTTTGCAGTTCACCAGATGTAGATTTCCAAACACCGCAATACGCTCTCACTTTAAGGTATTAGAGAGTATTGAATATGATGGCGGTTACCCCGTTTCTCGAAAAGAAAGTCATGCTGTCGGTCGTTTTGTGGCTGCCAACCGCAGGCAAACTCGCTCGCGTATACGCCATATTGGCACTGCGATGTGCTGTGCCACTACATTGCACATTAGGAAGCCGACCATATCGAGATAAATCATGTTTGTATATTGTGTTTATGTCACAGGATGCCTTGTTACAGGGGAATTCGTGATGATGGTTGAAATTGGAAATTAGGCCTAGGATAACTTTGTCTATGCGGCCTTGCTCTCGCAAACATTGGGAACTGGGGAAAGATCAACAAGGTATCCTGAATAAAATTAGGACTTGAGAATAAATAGTGTCTCTTGCCACATGTGACAGTTCCGTGTGGGGAAAATGATGGTGGGTGTAAATCGAAATTTTACATGTTAGCACTGAATGAAAGGTGAGAAAGAATGGAGCAACGGGTTTGTTATCATTTACAGAATTGGCGACCTCAGAAACGCTTTATTGGCCCTTTGTTGACTTCTCAGCGCTGAGGACAAATTCTAATGAATGAAATGTTATCGATAGTAAGCTTTCTTTTGTGGTCGTCGAACATAGCATTTTGAAACTAAATGATATTGTCTGTAAACGATTTGCTTTGTTGGTCCGAAAAGAAGACCGACAGTGAAATGGTCTCTATAGCGATGGGGGTCGGTTTCCTTGCAGTGTGATTTATATTATTAGGATAAGTAGGCCTAGCCTAGATACTAAAGGTCTAGATTCTAGTGTTCTCTATCGCCAATGCCTAGGCTAGGCCGCTAGGCTTTTTTTAGTCCTTGACAGGGAAGAAAGAAATGAGCTCACAAGGCCTTGAATCTGTCCAATGTGTAGGCCTACTCCTAGAATCTAGATCTAGATTATCTAGATTATCTAGATCTAGAATCTCTAGATTTATAGGGTCTGACTTGATGGTGTTTACTCCTTATACATTGGTTTTCAAATTTCAATTGTCATACTAGAATTTCTATCATATTTGGAAAAAGTTTCAGGCTATTATACTAGATCTAGATCTAATATATATTATATCTAGATTCTTTCTAGATCTAGAATCTCGTCTGGTGACTGCAACTTTGTGATCTTCTTGCAGGCTTCCAGTTTCAGTACTTCAGTCATAGATCTAGATCTAGATTCTAGAATCTAGATATCTAGATCTAATGTTCGTGAGGAATTTTATTTTTTCTCAGTTTTTAGTTTTTAATTTGTTGCTTCTATCGTTCACTTTTTATGTCGGAATCTGGTTTCACACAGTAAGAAGTTCAGTTGAGGGAGGATACTTATTCAATTAAATCAATTCTACCCATGAAGAATAGAGGTCCCTACTCACTGTAGCCTAGTAGTAGTAGCTACTGCATTTTGTTCTCATGCCATGATAACCAAATTATTGCATGATAATGATATGATGAAGATTGTAGAGTCGGTAACAGCAATGTTTTTTTGTTAATGTTTACTTTTTATGATGTTTCTTTTTATTGAAGAGTAGGTCATTGTCAAGACAGTAAGCGTAAGTTTGTCTCTCTAGGCAAGGCCGGGCCTTGGCAGGATTCTGGGCTTGGAGACTGAAAATATATATATAGGAATATAGGGTGGTTAAATCCTGTTTTGGCCTGAATTATTAATATCCAATCCCTACCCCTTAGGTACTGTTGATACTCCAGTACTCTTGGTACCAAATCTGGAGATAGTATAAGAAATGGTTATAATGGTTATAAAGAGAAAAGAACTTGAGTGCAGACGAGAGATTGTAATATTGTGTCCTTACAGATGATGCCCTTTGAGAGTGTCTGTAATTGTGATTCTTACCTCAGCTATTCTTTTTTTCTGCAGACTGATTCTGATGGGAGCCTAATCTTTCAAAGATGTGAACATTATCGAAAAGCTCATGTCCTGTCATCTGACCCACACAATGAAGAGTGTTGAATTTAAGTGGCACTGACTCTAACAAGAAGTAAGTAAAGTTCGATTCAGCAGGGGACTTTGTGTCATAGGTGTTTTTGTTTTGAGCTCTAACTGAATACAGGAGTGAAAAGATCTTAATTATACAGTCGAACTTGCCCTGACGGCCACCTCTATAAGACGGCCACCTGTACTGAGTGCCACTTTCCATTTCCCCCCTTGGATTTTTTCTATATAATTTAACTGTGTAAAACGGGCACCTGTCCGCCGCGGCCACATTTTAACAGGCAACCCCTATCACACCCAGCAATAACACCTGTCTTAGACGGCCACCTTAGTGACTCCATTAAGTTTTGTCATAAATTGTGCATTGGCCCTTGGCGTTTTGGGAGAACCGTCATAATCCAATCACCTGTCTTTTTTGTTAGGTAGTCCCTCCAACCGATCATGTTGCGTGGGCCCCTCCAACTGTTGACCAGTAGGTAACAATTTTCAGCTGCTGGTGAGGTAAGCGTGTGATCCCTCATAACCCATAAGCTCCGCCCAGAACTCATATACAAATCATAAGTGAGATGAGTGACCTGGTGACTGTTTACCCAGTCTGTTTCAAAGTAACAATGGACGACAACATGAATGTGTGACAGAAGCGTCGCTCATTCTCCAAGTGGTGGCGACCCACCATGTGTTTGTTTTACCATAGCACTTGGTCCTCCTTGTCTGACACATTTTGTTTTATTATCACCCTTGCACAAAAGCAGCAACAAAATAAAAGAACGAAAAGAAAACTTTAACCCAGCAAAAACAACAACAACAGCAACAACAATACGGCTACCTCCATTGGGACCTCAGAAAGGAATGGTTTGTTTTCTTCATCTTGATCAGTCCTGCCTAAGACGGCCATCTGTCTTATACGGCCACTTTTCTCCTACACAATGGGTGGCCGTCTTACACAGGTTCGACTGTATATTTAAAAAAAGTCTGTTTGGAGATGTCTGATTTTCAGTATGTTGTCTTTTCGGGTTATTCTTTTGGGAGTTTTGATCGGTCAGTTACCACATAAAAGCTCTAGCAGGGGGTATGCCTAAGATTTAAAAAAATGACTGTAAAAATGTTAGTTTTACAGTGGGTCACCCTCTTATCATTTGCTACTCTGTCAAAATTTGTACTAAGATCTCCAGTGGGTGGTTGGCGGGTGCTCTGGTGTGGTTTGCTTCTTTTTTCCTGTCAAACATCTATCGTCCTTATCTCCCTTTCTTCTTTTTTATGTTTGTTACTCTCTTGTAACAGCTCTAATCTTCTGGCGCTCATATGACCTTATGCAGTTGTGATCGCCGTAAACTTCTACTAAAACTAACTAAGATCTCCATTCTCAGTGGACAGGGAAATGTTTACTTTGTCTAGTGAATTAAAATGTGAGCAATATTAGCCTACCCACTGATTTTTGTTTGCATAGATAAATGATCAATCTTAAAGTCTCTTCGGCGCTTATATGACCTACTTGTGTCGCAAGTGCAGTTAAACCCATGCTAAAACTAAAGTAAAAAAACCCCCATAACTCAGACTTGAACAATATATATAAAATATTTATATATTATGTGTCCAATGTCACGACGTGGTGTAATCAGGCGCTCGTGAATTTTTGAGCACGTGGAGTTATTGGTATCATCGGAAAGCAGATTTATTTGCCTTGCTTCAGGTGAAATAAATATTCATTATCTTGAAATCCATTGATTAGCATGTCCTCAACTTCTTGTCTTTTGATTGCTTTCTCCTGTAAAAGTACTTATAATGGTTTAACCTTTTCTGTTGTTACAGAGTGAAAAGATGACGACTGAGACAGCTGCCAGAGAGCACAACTATGGGCGTCTGCTGGCGAAGCCTCTGCACATACAGCAGCTGGAGGCTGCGCTCAATCTGGAACCCTTTATGAAATATGTGGAAAATGCTCTGTCTGAAAATGTTGACGACATGTGAGTACTTCTTGATATTTACAGTCGAACCTGTTTAAAGCTGAATTGTAAGGGAGCCAGAAAAAAATTCCATCCTGGACGTTTTCCGTGTGGACAAAGGGAGTTTAAAGGGGAAAGAGATGGGGGTTCCAGAGGCCCAGCTGGTGGGGTCATGGTCGCCTGTCAGGTCGGCAAACAGCGGCCAAAACTTTACACCTCTGAAATGGTTTTCTAGCCTCTCTGAAAATGGCATGCGTCAGTCTTACTTATCTATTGCCACCTGTGCTTGCATCTCATAGGACCACTGATCTTTTGTTTCTACCCTTAGCCTTACCCATTGGTAAAAGGCACAATCAACCAATGCCACTCCTCTCGTAGTGTAATAAGTACAATCAACCAATGCCACTCCTCTCGTAGTGTAATAAGCACAATCAACCAATTCCACTCCTCTTGTGCTTGTAACAATGATTCAAGAAACTTTTGTCTAAGATGGCAGTACGCTCAGGGTGGCAAGCTTTGGTCAAATTAATTAAAAATTAATTTTACACCCCTAGCACTTTCACAGGCACTTTGAGGTTTCACAACCTGCTTTAATGATCACCTGTATAAAACAATCACCTGTACAAACAGCCACTTGTCTTTTCCCCTATTGCATTCTTTTACATTATAATGACACTGTGTAAGACATCTACCTATGACTATGACGATAATTTTTTCCTTGACAATTTCGACTAGGTTTTACATTTGGAAGGTTGTGCGGTGTTACCATTCACATTATGAATTTTTTCTTGGTTGGTCTTCTCTGATCATTAAGACACCATCTTAAGCCTTTTTGGACTTTCATAAACTCTGTTAAACGTTTTTTTTTTGCGTATGATTAAGTCAAGCTTTGTTTAGCTATGTTTATAAAGGATGAGTTAGAATGAAAGAAGTTGCTAAAATCTGAGCAAATGTATGGTCCCAAAATTGAATGATATTTATTCTTTGCTTTTTTTTTCTCTGAAACCAGAACTGACTGTGATCCTTCAGACACTGAGGCAGACATATTGAAGTCGAGTCTGAGAGACAATGATGACAACAAAATTGTCAATGGAATCACCATTTCAAAATATGGTATGATGAGTCTAGATGATATTTGTGGTACTCCTTCAAGATGTCAACTGTTTCTTGTTTCTCTAAACTCATTTGTTATATAGTGGCGTTGACTGGCGGATTTTCTTCAGCTTGGTTGTGTTTTCGGTTAAGAGAGGGTTGCTTAAATAGTGGTATTTGTTGACAGCATGGAGTTGGGAATACCATGCTTGTGACAAATTTCACTTTTTGAAAGTTTTTTTCATCATCTACCAATCTGCCTCTTTTGCTGCAATTTGAGGTTGCAAGCATTATGCTTTCTCTTTGGCGTTGTCAACTGGATTAAATCTGCCGAAAATTCACTCAGAATAGATGTAAGAGTAGATGAGCACACAGTTCTGCTCATTATGCTGTGCTAGTCCAGAGAAGAGAGAAAACCCAATGCCAGTGTGTGTGGTAGCCTATCAGTTCGGAATGTTTGGAGCCCCGAAGAGCGTGCTCTTCGCCAGGGCCACCGCCTCCCTTGGAAAGCGGGTGAGGCAGTCTAACCTCCCTGAATCCTCCTGGAAATGATGCTACCGTCAAGAAACACTGTATGCTGTTACATGCTTATTAAATGTGTAGGGCCTATGTGACCTAACTTTGCTAAGACAATAGGCAATGGTCAAGTGAAGGTCACGCAACAAAAGTACATTTGTTATCCTAGGCTCACTTGGTCTATGCACAGCGTGTAGGCTCATTGAAGTGTGTGATAAATGTAATAAGCATACAGTGCACTAGCAATGCTTCTCTCTGGCCTGCAATCAGCACACATGAATGTTTGAGTCTCTTTCTCCTGCTTTGCTATCTGAAAACGCGTCAGACTTGTGATGGTTTGAGTTGCGTGAGGGTTGCAGGTGAAGATTTAGCTGATATAATAATATACATTTTTTTTTTGGTTTAGAAATTTGATCCTTTTGGCTTATCTTACGAAGGCAAAATAGTAAAAAGATTGGGGATTTGATTATCTTTTGGTTTACCACTGTTTTCGGATTAACGTGTTCGGTTTAAGCATACATGTACATGTATAAGAATATGGAGAGTAATTTTCGGTATAAGAGCAAATATTGATTGTGGAGTATATCTTTTTAAATATTCTAGCTTTAACCCTTAAAACCCTATGCCCTCTGGTAACCGCTGGTCAACTTTATCTTTTAATTCCCAGTGCTAGAAACAATTGATGACTCTGTCGCGAGCAGAAAGTACCGATATTGTCATAAGAGCAGTTCAACATCGAAAGTTAGGAAATATTGCAAGTTTTTTAGGAAAAATTAGTGACTTTTCGCTGCCAGGCCCAGGCCGCAAAATGTTTGACATTTTTTATCCTGAACCAGACCCCAATAATATGATCTCCCAGTCGGATGTATCGATAAATATGACCGTTGAAGACGATTGCAATGCTTCACATAACATCGAGGATGATGATTTTGACGATAGTGGAAGTGGCAGGGGATCACCATTAGAGCTACCAGAGGCTAGATCTACAGCTGGGTCTAATGATACTTTGACTGAAGTGGAGTCAGAGATCATACACACGACTTTACTCAGAGTTGGTCCTAAAAACCAGTGTTTTAATCTTTTCCCGTTTTGTCCAGACTGTGCATTCATATATGAATAACATTTTCAAGCTTCAGTAAAATCTAACAACAATTAAAGACACAGTAAATAAAACAATGAACCAAACTAATTTTTTCTAGTATCTCAATTTTAATTCAGGATTCTAGGGAAATATGAAAAAAAAAAAATTCAGGGTTTTAAGGGTTCAAAAGAATGAGGCAACTGGTTCTGGATGCAAGCTGTAGATCAGTTCTGTTAGGTGTGTTTATCTTTGCAAAGGCAAAAAGTAGAAATATTTGAAGTGTTTTTTTAGCATTTAAAAAAATATACTTTTTTTGTGGTGATTTCAGAAAGAAAAGCAGATAAGACCCGACTATACAACTTCAGTAAAGTGAAGAAAAGCAGACGATGGATTCGGGTAAGTGTCATGTCTTGAGATTTTAATGTGGGATAAATATTAGAAAATTTCTTTTGAAATATCCACACCTCTTTCACAGGTTTATTGTCTATTTTTCATTTAAGCCTATGTCACACATTATTGCAGCTGCTTTTATTGCCTGAGGTCTTTGTTCTCTCATTAACTTGGTAGCTGCATTTGAATCATATAAGAGTTAAGATGTTTTTTGTACTTGTATCGAAGTGTCACTCTATTTTTCGAAAGTTGTTACTACTGAAGAATTAACTAGGTAGTCGATGACTATCAACCGTTTGAAGCAGTAAAAAGTAATAGATTGTTGTAATGTTGTTTTCTTTTGAAAAACTTATGTTTTAAAAAAGAAAAATATTTAACAAATATTAGGAGAGAGTTTGGTCTAGAACTTGTTTTATATTCTTTTACTTCCAAAAGAGATACTTAATTATGAAACCATTTCACATTTCCCCAAAATGTCTGAATATTTTAACAGAACATCCTTCTGAGTGATACATCTTCAGATGAGGAAGATGACAAACTCATGAAAATGGAAGACTTGCATTTCATGTTACACATGCACAAGCAGAGGAAAAAACACCAGATGAAGTTTTACCAAGACCCTGATGTAAGTGGAGTCTCTTTTATATATTTCAATCACCGATTCTTTTATATTCTTTGTACCGTGGACAACTCTGCAAGTTCTGCAGTGGATGGTTGGCGGTTGCTCTGGTGTAGTTTGCTTCTCCTTTTCTGTCAAACATCTATCGTCCTTATGTCTCCTCCTTTTTTGTGTTAGTTACTATTTTGTACCACCTCTAATCTTTGGCACTAATTTGACCTAATTGTTTGGAAGCCAGGTTTATCATTCTCTCTATTTTGTTTGTTTATTCTTTAGGTCTCAGTTTGTACTGATGGTCTCAATAGTTTTAAGTCCTGAATAGTATCTGTATTTTTTTTCAAAATGTTTATTTCTTCAGGGATGCCCCATTAGGTCAATTGGTAACATGCTTGACTACGCAACGGATGGCCCTGATTTGGCAACCAGACTACATTCTTGAACCCAAGTCATGTTTTTGAAATTTCAAGGCTCTCAACCCTTTTGGCATGGTCCTTTCGGAGATGAACGTTAAATAAAAACCTCTCTTAAATAACCTAATAATAGTATTATTAAGGGTTAAACCGTTACATTGCCATTTTCGACGTAAGCACAGCACCAGCGCTGGTTTGCCGCTTTAAGTCGAAATTAATACTTGTTTAACAAAACTGCCGATCTACCACATGTACGAAACTGCCGGATTTCGTGGGTGATGTCCCTTTGTTCAGAACCTGTTTCCACTTCAGTACTGTTGATCGTGGCCAATTTTTCATCATTAGTTTTTGAAAAACAAGACGTTTTTGATGTGATAGAATGGAACCAAACTGTAGCACTGCAACTCATCGTAATGATTCTGACTCTGATGAGTCATTCAATGTTTCTGAGGATTTCTGGGAAAGTTTTCATCAAGGTAATAGGCTTGAACAAGAGTCTAACAGTTACAGCTATGATTCTGACTGTGACAATGAGGTTAGCTTATGGAGCTAAAACTATACCCAGTGATAGTGGTGATCGAAGAGGGGGGCGGGGCATGGGTGGGCATGGCGGTCGTACCCAGCCAGCTGATGAATTGCAGTGGGAGTATCTGCAGGATGCTGAAATTAATAACCCAGTTGAATATGTTTTTTTATATGCCACAACATATAATGAGTCTTTGTTGAAAATTTCATGGAGTTTACGGTTTGGGAGCTATGATATTTAAAATTGTATTATTTTTTGTTGTTCCCGCGAAAAATGGGTGGCTAACTGGGAGCATATAGGGCAAAAATAGGTGGCATGTAGGGTTAAACGCAGACATTATTTTTATTGTCTTTTCTCCTTGAACTATAGAGTTCAGTCATGCAAGGAGGAATGTTCCCCTTACTGCCTTTTTTTGTGTATTCGAGCCAAACAGAGAATGCAACCTGTTTCATTTACTTTTGTGTGTTTTCAGCTCCGCCAGTACCAGTATTACAGTACAGGACTTTTGTCTAACTATGACAAGTATCCTGAGCACAGCAAGTCCATTGTTGGTCACAAGAAGAAAATGGCGAAGGAGCAAAAGAAGCAGGAAAAGAAAGCAAAAGGTTTGTTGTGTTTTTAAACAAATGCTTCAATATATCTCAACAGCTGTAATCATTAAACCTCGTGTGCAGTCCTTCTGTCTATTTGTGAACCTACAATATTCATGTATTCATGTCCCTTGAGTAAGGTTATAAAATACCCTCTCTTTTAGTACATTGCCAATGGCAGAGATGCCAACCAGTACGATTTTACGTATTTTAGTACGATTTTTTTCTGAAAATACGCGAATATGACTTCTCATGAAAAAATACGCATTCTGGAATGCGGAAAATACGAGATTCAGCTTGGGCGAGTAATCCTAATTATCTCAAGTCCCATCTTTTGACCAAATAGTCTTAGTATCGCGGAACTGGAATATTTGAAAACCAAGTCCGATAAGGTCAGTAAGTTCAATTTTGTCGGTCGCGATTGTGATATTATTCTTTCAGCTTTTACCCGTCCGAGAGTACGTTTCACTTTCACGCGGACAGGCAGCAGGCGGAAGTGTATGTGATACCGAGGCTCGATTGGGAAAATCAAGATCTACTTTCGCTTTCTTTACCACAGAGAAGTTTGCCAGCAATAGTCTGATAACGCAACATTTGTGACATGCTGGTTGTGCAGTATAGATCTAAACGCTGTGTCGCCATGCAAATAAAATTTAATAAATTCTCCGACTCGTCTCTGTGCTGTCACTTGTGGAAAAAAAAAGAAAAGAAAATACAAGCGTCGTCCGATTTTTAGATTGTGTGGCTCGCCATCGTGACCGGTCACTGGTCAGTGACCCTGCGTGCATTCGCATCATAAAAATACAGCGTCGTGTGAGCAAAGACCGTCTTTGGTTGGAGTAACGGCGTGGCAAAGTATAGGACTACGGAATAGGGGAGGGGATTATTGATTTTTTTTTTAAGATACAAGGGGGAGGGGGGTGTGTGAAGGCAACACGAGAGGACAAAAACTTGAAAGCAATTTCAGTATTTTGATTAGAGCTTCTGCAAAGCGTGGGTTGGTGCAGGCCGTGTGCGGAATCAGGACCGTTCATACTTTGCAAGTCTGTGTTATTGAAATAGAGTATTCGCATTTCATTGGATGGGTGATAGTAAATTATACCTACAGTGTATGTTGTAGCTTTCTGTTCACGACTGGCAGATTTTCAGTGTCACTGCATCTTTCCCTCCCACAGTTGTTACAACTCTCACACTGCATTGGTCTACTTGAGCCATTCAAGTTATTGCTCTTCTCTGAGTTTGAGCAATAATTTTAGTCTGTCAGTTCATAACATGAATTATGACACCCAGACTGGTTCTTGATAGTCGAAATTCTTGTTCTAGGCCCTTCCGAACGCTCAAAGCAGGATTAATTTTTTTATATATAATTATGAGACGAAAATATTATAATAGACTGAAATACTTCTGAACACTTAACATGTTGTTGACTGAGTGCGCAAATATTGTACGCGTGTGTGCTCCCTTTTTGGAGCTGGTGAGCTAGTAATTTTTTTTCAGGAAATATTGCTGAACACCCTGAACATTTTACTAGTTGGTAGGTCGGTCTTTGGGAATACACATTTTCCCCTGAAAATACACATTTTCATATTTCCCAATACTCATTTCAGTTTTCTGTGGTTGGCATCTCTGCCAAGGTGTTTATTTGAAAGTTATTGCTTGTGGCATGAGTTAACGATTCAAAATTTTAGCAAAATTTGTCAGTTGCACGTGTCATCAAAATAATTTGTTAAAGAATATTTAAGTAGCATTTTAGTGGAATTTTTTCCATATTTACGTTTACTTTTTGATAGAAATAAAATTTCAGTTTAATTTAGGCCTAGGTATTTCAAAATAACCCTTACTCTTCTGACAGGTTTTCTCGGAGACCATCACATATTTTTTTATACTTTTCTGCTTGTAACTGCATTTTTTGTTGTTGACTTGCTCATTATCATGTTTAAAAATTTCTTTTTTTCAGCGAAGTTGAAAAAGCTAAAGAAAGAAAGCACACTTGATGAGGATGGAGAGGTGAGGAATATTTGCTTTTGCTGAGGATGACTAGTGTTTAAGAATAAATGGACAAGTTACTCTTGCTTTAGAATATTTTAGGCTCTGTGTTCTTTGCAGATGCACATAGAAAGCGGCCCCTTCAATACCATCGACCTATAGCTGCTGCAAACACATTGTTGAAATAAGCCAAAGGATGCTTTGGCCAGATGAGTGCATAAGAAAAGTTTAGGAAATATATGTTGTTCAACAGTTGTATGGTAGAGTACTGTCAGTTGGCATTTTTAGTTTGCTTCATGTCCTCAAGAAAACATTTTTGAAGTTTTTCATTCCGCTTAAATTTTTTTTATCACATGCAATGTGTTGACGCAAGTATAAAAACATGGAAGTTTGTTGTATAATTGCAAAATTTAATGATAATACTATTGTGCTTAGAGTGTGGGGAAAGTGACTAGTAACACTCAATTTTGTTGATGTACCTTAGATAATGATATGTAAATATATTGATGCTGTACTACTGTTTTTAAAGAGTATTTTCCTTTCTCAACAGGAGATTGATCCTTCAGTTCTCGAAGCGCTCTTGGCGAAACGTCAGGAAAAGAGAGAGAAAAAGCCCAAGAAACTAACTCCAGAACAAGCTGATGCGAAAAGAAGGAAATTGTGGATCTCTATAGCGAAGAAAGAAATTCCAAGAGTAAGTATTTATTTTGACTAGTGGAATAGGCTGATTTAGATTTTTAATAGTGGTCACTAATTTTACACCATGTATTTTATTCGTGTGACCATTGCTTTTAAAGCTGTGAGCAAATTTTCATGTTACACCTCTATTTCAGAAGATTTACACTTTTTTTCATTAAGTCATTGGGTTTTATATTTTTATGGTCCATGTGTTTTTTTTTCTTCTTTTTTTGTGTGTGTCTGTTGTTGTTTTAAAGTTAAATTATAATTCCCCCCCAAAACCCCGCTCCAAAACAGGGCTTTCAGGTTTCAACTGAATCAGCTATTATGGGCATTTTTATTCAATATTGGTTCATCTGCTCTCCATCACTTATTTGTTAGCTTAGATAAGTCCATATATTAAGCATTGTGTATACTTTCACATCAAGGAGTACTCATGGGGTTTGGATGATGTAATGTATATGTTTAAATTCAGTTACATATCGAGGATGGAGAGTTTTGACTTGAGGGTCAAGTGATTTCTTAGATTTTATTTTTGTTTCATTTATTTAAGAAATGGTCTTATACTTATTCTACAAATGTTTCATGTTTTGAAATGTATCTTCTGTTGCAGGCACAGAAACAGAAAGCATCCGCTCGGAAAGAAATGTTAGCCACTATGAAAAAGGTGACTACTATTCTGTATATCGGCTTTGTTGAACATACTTATCTTACATTGAAATGTCTTTCTGTTGGAAGAGTATGCAGGGTGACTGCCAGGCCCCGGCCGGGGCCCCCTGGAATCTCCCGGGAATTTGAGAAAAATTGTGGAGACCCAGGAATACACCGGGAATTTGAGGAAATCTGCAAATTGCCAAAATACATAAAAGCTTTGGAAGATTTGAAAATCAAATCCGATAACGTCCTTGGATTCATTTTTGCTGGTTGCCATTGTGATATTTATTCGGCTTTTCCTGGTCTGAGTACGTTTCAGGTGAACTGGCGGCTATGGCAGCAAGCGGAAGTGTATGTGTTGTACCGAAGCTCAATTGGGAAAATCAAGATCTACTGTCGCTTTCGTTACTATCCAGAAATTTGCCGGTAGTAGTCTGATAATGCAACATTTTTAACCTGCAGGTTTCACATTACGAACGCTGTGTCGCCTAGAAGTTAAATCAATATTTGTCCAGCGCTGTCACTTGTTAAAAAAAGGAAGAAAAGAAAGTTATACAAGTGTCTTGTCGAGCTCTCCATCGTGACCGGTCAGTGAACCTGCGCCTTCGCATCACATTGTGAGTGCCGGCAATGGTCGGGGTCGCCAAAGTTTATTCAAAGTCTGAGCACTGCGAAGCATAGGACTTTGGAATAGGCTGATTATTGATTTTTAAAAAAATGATATGCTCAGGGGAGGGAAGATAGGGTTGAAGGCAACCCTGAGTGACAAAAACTGAACTTGAAAGCAAATTTATGTATTTAGAAGTTTGGTTACTACTTGAGCTCTCTGGAAAGCACGCGTTGGTGCAGGCCTTGTATGGAATTGGGATCCATCGGACTCCTACCTTGTAAGCCGTGTTTTTTAAAACTAAGTAAGGGTTTGCATTTCATTGGATGGGTGATAGTAAATTACATGTGTTGTATATCTATATTTTAGCTTTCTGTTCAAGATTCACAGCAGATTTTCAGTGTCACTGCATCTTGCCCTCCCTCCGTTCTTACACCTCTCACACTGAATAGGTCTACTGGAGCCATTCGAGTTACTACTCTACTTGTGTTTGAGCAATAATTTGTGTCTTACATGTTTATTATATAAATCTTGACACCCAAACTGGTTCTTGACAGTTGATATTCTGGTTCTAGGCCTTTTCTCAGGCTCAAAACAAGATTCATTTTTATATTGTTTATGTAGGCGAATATAATGAGGGGAAAATGCAAATATTAATAATTAAGAACAGACTGAAATACCTAAGTCACACAGTACCCTAGTCCCACACTGACATGTTGTTGACTGGATATAATGTACCTATATCATGTGTGTGTATAGATGGAGTGCGCACTGTCATTGTTAATTAACATGCCCCTGGAAAATGGATGAGCCCCCCCTGGAAAATTGAGAAGCCGGGTTGGCAGTCACCCTGAACTGTATACTTCTGTAGAGACAAATGAAACTGATAGGTCCAGGAGTATGTCCCAAGTTTTCATGGGCTGAGGTGGAGCTTGTTTTAGCGAATTAGGTTTGCTACTGGACAGGATGTGAATCTTGCCGGTTTTTCCAAAGGACATGTTTTCAGGTTATGTGCAGCCTGGAATTTTATTAAAAGTCATTCGGTGTAACAAATGGAATTTTCGTATTCAGATATAAAGATAGAATTTTAATCAGTTTAACAGATAGCAGTTTTGTTATATTTCATAAGATGTAATAGTTTCACTCATTTTGTATGAGTGCAAGTAAGACAACATAAAAGGGCCCATAGGTGTCTTTGTAAGAAGCAGCTAAGAGCACCTTTGTTTTCTCTTTGAGTAACATCGAGATAGTCTTGTTACCTTTTATTGTTTGTGTACTCTTCAGATTTCCACTCAAGCCATGCGTGAATGCCGAAGAGCTTCTCTCCAGTCGCAGAAGACCATGAAGGAAACACCTTCTAGAGCACGGAGGCTGACCCGCGAGATGCTCATCTACTGGAAGAGATTTGAGAAAGTGGAGAAGGAGCACAGGAAGAGAGCTGAAAAGGAGGCTTTGGAGCAGAGGAAACTGGACATTGAGTTGAAGGAGGTAGACAATACCCTCTTGTGACACGTATTTCAGACTACAAAAATTCAGGAAATTATTGATTTTCCTAATTTTTTCGTTTAAAAAAAATGTCAAATTGTGATCAACTTTACTGAGTTTATAATTAGTCTTTTGGAACAGTTCAACAAGTTGTGTAAGCTATACAGACCATAACATAATTGGGAGAGGTAGTCTAAAGCTGAGGGTGTGGTGGCGGAGTGGTTAGTGCGCTCGTCTGCGAAGCGGAAAGTCCGGGTTCAAGCCCCCGTTCGGACACTGATTTTTTTCGCTCCCTCCTGCCCACCCAGCAGTAATGGATACCTGACTTTGAGTTGGGGAGGTAAAGGCAGCATGGACAGGAATTGGTTTCACTAACAATGTCCAGATAGGATTGGGGAACAACTTTATTTTTTAGTCTGAAGCTGAAATGCACACGCAGAAGTTGGAGGAGCTTAGATTGGAAATTGGGATAATGCTGTGTTTTTCATCATAGGCTTTAAATGACTGCAAAAAATTAATGACTTTTCATTTGTGGTTGAAATTTCTTGGTTTTTATCTGTAGGCAAAGAGGCAACAGCGTAAGCTCAACTTCTTGATCACTCAAACGGAGCTGTATGCTCACTTTATGGCCCGCAAGATCACAGGGGAGGGTACAGAGCGCAAGGACAAGATTCTCGGTCAACTGGATGAGCGTAACCGCAGCACGAAATCATCTCGTCACGTCAACGGGGGAGTCTTGGAGGATGAGCTGCTGGATGATGATTATGGTTAGTTCACTCTTGAAATGTTGTAGGTTGTTACATGATTTTCTACCCCTTTGGCATAAACCTAAGGTGGCTCATATGTATAGATGATTGGTGGAATGACGATTTGGTATTTTCATCTTCTTTTTGGTGTTACTAAGACATGTGGCCGTTTTTAAAAATTTGAATGCATGCTTTATTGTAAGTTTTAAGCATAGCATTTTGATTTTTGCTTTAGAGAATAGATTGTTGATTTTTTGTGCTCCTGTTAATGTATATTAAAGGAAGGAGTCCTTTTTTAAAAATTGGAATAGATGGTGAGAGAATCTCATAACTTTTAAATTGAGTGTTGACTCAGAATTCAAGAGGTGGGTTACCTTTTCTCCATGGAAATCGCTTTGTATAAATGTTTTACTTTTTCGTACTCTGGTAACTGTTTTCCCTCTCAGAACTTTGTTGAGAGAAATGATTTGTCACTTTCTTTTTCCTGTGTGTTGTGTGTTTATTTATAATCTCTTCTCTCCATTAGATGGTGAAGCTATGAAGAAAATGGCCCTGGATCACGCAGAATCTGCTTACAACATGCATCAAACTCAGGTAAGTTGATAGCAAAGAACATTTTCAATGGGAAGCATTACAAAAATGTTTTTCAGGTTTGTTTTTTTTTGTTTTTTTTTTTTGGGGGGGGGGGGTAATTTGCTAGATTGTTGTGATGTCTGCTGTAGTCTAGGTCTAGTGTTTTTTTTTTTTCTTGCTCTTTGTATCGTGTCCAACAGCTAGTTTACAATCATACATTTTGTTTTATTCAGGGGCAATATAAATGGCCTCTGCACTAAGGTAGCAGTCTTTCCTTTATGTTTCGGAAAAGGAATGATGGATAATATTTTATGACAGTGACAGTCTTTTATTGCGGATTCAATCTGCTACTTTATTAGTGAAAATGCTGCTCGTAAGCTGTCCAGAGTTTATAGAACTTATTCACTGTGGAATGCTGGAAGTCATGCTGGTTTTTATATACATGTTGAAGTATGGTGTTGATGTTTGTGTACCAAAAGCAATTTGTGGATAATTTTTTTTCTGTGACCTGTATTGAGCAAACAAAAAAACAAACACATTTTTTTCATGTTATTTTTCAGAGAAAAGCTTTTGATTCTGATGCATGTAAGTAGAACCAATTCTTTGCTTTTGATGTAATTGATAATGTTAATGTTCCTGATCATGTTATGATTTGTCAGTTTATACTTGAGTTATATTTTATAGCGTCCATTTTGTTCTTTCTTGGGTGTTTAGTTTTTACCTTTGATGAATCCTCATAATAGTACAGTGTTAATAAACATTCCTGTAATTAAATTCCAATTAAACATCCTGTATTTTCTTCATTAATGCGTGGTTGAAAACAGCATTTGGTTAGCTTACTCACAAATGTTGGTGGGTGGATCCTTTTCTTAACTTTGCGGGTGGTTGGTGGGTACTCTGTTGTGGTTTACTCCTTCTTTCCTATCAAACATCCATCGTCCTGATCTCTCCTACTTCTTTTCTGTGTTTGTTACTCTCTTGTAATACTTCCAAGTTTCTGCACTTGTATGACCTTATTGTGTTGCAAGTGCTGTAAAACTCTTACTAATACCCCCCCGGGGCAGTGCCACTGACTGTAGTGTCTTTAGGCCATTCCCAAAGGGGGGAACATTTCTTGCTCAAGCATAGTAGAATTGTAAATGGGCTGACTCATGTCATGCTCATAACTGTGCCTGATCTACAACAGGGAACTGCTGCTTTTTCTTTCCTGATCCTTACTATTGTCATTTTCCTCTACTTCTTATGTATGTTTGCCACTCTCTTGTGACCTGCTATTTCCGGGGTTCCTTGATAGTCGAAGCAGACCTTGTGCTGTTGAAGCTAGAGAGGTGAGCAGTCTAAGTCTGATTCCCTGTAAAGAGTAGACTTCTCCGTTGACACCCACCCCTTGGCGTTCATATGACTTTATGCAGTTGCGAGCGCTGTAAAACCCTCTACTATAAAAAAAACAAAAAACTCCTTTCTAAAACTAAAAACTAAACTTTTCTTAACTTTCCCTCTGTTGTGTTTGTCCGTCACCTTGTCTAGCTCTTCACCAAATAACAAATGAAATGACATAACACTTTGTTTTCACCTGGCGCAATATTGCGACTGCGAAAGTTATCCGTTCCGGTCACCTGGCGCAGCTGCCCGAGAAGTCGGTTGCAGTCGTTCCCCTGGCTGGGTGACCCAATGGGGTATTTTGTACTGCTGGCTATGTGACTGCAAAGTGTTAATATGTCAACTGATTTGCATCTCTTTAGTCAAACTCGATAACTCTTCTCCCGTCCTTCAGTGGATAAAGGTCTGTCAGAGCCGACCCTCACTGGAGATGCTCAGAGTGCCCAGCCAGATATGTTCAACGGCAAACTGAAGGGCTATCAGCTCAAGGGCATGAACTGGATCGCCAACCTGTACAACCAGGGCATCAACGGAATCTTGGCAGACGAGATGGGTTTGGGCAAAACAGTGCAGAGCATTGCCTTCCTTGCGTATCTTGCTGAGGTAAAATACATGAGCTCTTGTGAAAGTATATATCAAATCATTTTCACAATTATTTATGGCTCTGCCAGTAACAGGAAGCACAGTTGACTATTTGCAAAGGATATTTCTTTCTTTTTAGATTTTAATGATTGTATATATTTATATTCTTTTTCAAGCGTTTTAGTTCTTGTGGGAATATTTCAGAGCTTAGATACCATAAATTTTGTATTTGTATGATAAAGAAATGTTGCTGTGAACACTGCTTCATGTTCTGTATTTCTGTGTCTTCCCTCATGCATTTAAGATAAAGGGACCTGTGCCCAAAACAACTTTCAGTGTTTTGTTGTTCTCAAGGATGTTCTGTGATGGGCCGTGATGGTTAGGGCAACTTCAGTTGCTGCTCGGTCACTGACGTAATAAATGCTTTAGCAACTTGGGCTACTGGTATGAAGTGTCAAGGGGGCTTTCTTAAACTATGAGTATAAAGTTTTCCTAGTTTTGACTGCTTTTGAAGTGGGATCAATCTTTATTCCGTATAATGCCCAAAGAGCTGTTGAACATGCATTTTAACTTGGAGTGATTTTTTTCTTCGGCTTGTACTTGATAAAAAATGGGGAAAGAAATGAAATAGAAATATCGAAGTGCTAATGTAAAACATGTTTTTTTGGTCAAAAGACAGTCCAAAGTCAGTAGAAAATATTCTGGTGAGTAAAACTAACATGTGTGAAAATGGAGATTCATCAAAAATTGTTTTTCCAGGTCCAGAGTATCTGGGGCCCGTTTCTTGTGATTGCTCCTGCTTCAACGCTCCACAACTGGCAGCAAGAGGTGTCCAGGTTTACCCCCAAGTTCAAGGTCAGTTTGTTTGCTTGTTTTTTGTTTTCATGGTATTACTTGAATTACCTGTCTTGAGCAACGTCATTGCACACCGGACAGGTCCATAAGTACTCTGTTACCCCCAGCACCAAAGCCCGCAAGGTATTCATATAGATTGTTCTGTTTGCTGTCTGATTATGGCGACGTCTTTCCTTTCCAGATAATCATTCCTTTCTTCCGTCTCCCCTCTCTATCCCCATTTCCCGCATCCTTATGATTGCGTGGTGTTCTGCTGTCTCCCTGTCTTCTTCATCGCGCAACTTTTTCTCCAGGGTCTTCAACACTTCTCCTCTGTCAAATTTCACCTCACCATCAACCACGACACTGCCTGCCAGCCTATCAGCTTCCTCATTGCCTTTCACTCCAGAGTGCCAAGGACTGAATATCTACGTCATGGCTCGTTGATTTTTTGTGTTTTCATGGATTAAGTGATAGTTTTTCTAGGTTTCTGGTTTCTGAGAAATAGCTTTCGACATAAAAATTGGTCTATTCATTTATAACTGAATTGCTATCGCAGAGTCACATTATTTTGCTTTTGTTAAACAAATGAAATGGTACAGATGGCGATGAAAAAAGATATGATATTTTTCAGAATATATACTTTGTATATGTTTTGTTGGTGTGAAAATTATGAGGATGGCAAGAGAACTGTCTTCTTGCTTTTTCCTTGGTGCTTTATCCTTGTTCTCATGTATATTTCTTTGATGCTGTAAATAAATGGAATTTTTTTCTTTATATTATGGTGCTGACTTCGAGGGATGGGCAAAAAACAGGATATTGTCTTTGAATCAACCTAGAGAATATCTCAAGGGTTTTTTTTTTTGCATGGAGGACAGACAAAATAAAATGGGCCCCCACCTGATTATGGCCTTTGTATATTTTTGTTCTGCCTTTCGTTCAGGTTGTGCCCTACTGGGGCAACACCCAGGACCGCAAGATCCTGCGCAAGTTCTGGGACCAAAAGTCGTTGCACACGGAGGACGCCTCGTTCCATGTGGTGATCACCTCGTACCAGCTGGTCATCCAGGACGTGAAGTACTTCCAGCGCATCAAGTGGCAGTACATGGTGCTGGACGAAGCTCAAGCCATCAAGAGCACCTCCAGGTCTGCCTCTGAGATTTGTTTTGTGTGTTGTTGATTTTTTGTGTGTGGTTAAAACATGCTTTTTTTATATAGGGAAATTTTCTTTTATGTTTTCAGCTTTCATGTTTCATTGGCATTTCAGTGTCAAAGTCTCCTTTTGCAAATGAGAAAGGTGTATGTTTTATGCCTATAAAATGGCAGCTTGCATTGTATGCTTCCCAGGAAGTTGAGATTTTTTAGAATGCTATCAGGTCTGCTGGGGTAATAATATATATTGTAAAGTGCATAAAGCTTGCTGTTGAGTTGAAATTTGCATTATTCAAATGCTATTTATTATTATGTTTGCAGTTTTAATGTTTCACATTTTGGCATTAGCATTTCACTGTGTCAGTGCAGTTTGCTGAAATAGAAACTATTATGAGCTTGGCATGCATAGGAAAAGCTCAAGGGGCATGCCAGATCCTGAAGAATGCATGATTTTAGATATTGCTCTGATTGTGGGGAAGTGAAGTGGTTAGTTAAAGGTTATTGTTATCACAATAAAGGGATTCAAGTTTGTGGACTGATGCTTCACTACTGGTGATGCGACAAGATATATGAAAAGACTTGTGTATGAAAACTGATTGCATATTTCTCTGGTTTTTGACAGTGTGCGTTGGAAAATCCTTTTGGATTTCAACTGCCGAAACAGACTCTTGTTGACTGGAACTCCAATACAAAACAGCATGGCAGAGGTGAGAAATCCTGCTTTCTATTTCCTCAGCTAAAACAATCTTTCAGACCAAATATCTTTTACACACTCAAGCTATTTCTTTGAGAGTTTGAATTAAAGGTAGATTGAGACACATGATAAATGGTGTTTTGATAAGTTAAGAAAAAATGTAGTCATGGTGTTGCTTTTATAGATCATGATGGGCAAGATCTGGTACTGTGATTTGCTGGATTCTATTTATTAAGTTGTCCTTTTGTTGTTACATGTTCTAAATCTGAACGATGACAAACGGATATTAAGTCTGCCTTTTTGCTCTTTTATTTCAGTTATGGGCTTTGTTGCATTTTATAATGCCGACTTTGTTTGATTCTCATGATGAGTTCAATGAATGGTTTTCAAAGGACATCGAGAGTCATGTGGAAAAACAGTCTGGGATAGATGAAAGTGAGTTTCATGCCTTTTTTATCTGTATATTTTGCATGTTTGTAAGAACATTTTTCTTTTTCTTATGATCGTATGTTTTTGTTCACACTATTTTTATATCTACTTATAAAAAGTTTTGAAAGATTTGTTTTGTAGAACTATTCATTTGCAGTTCACTGTAGTATAAGCTAAAAGAGTTTTAATTACAAGTACAATCGAACCTGCCTTAACGGAAACCTGTCTTTACGGAATTTCCCCGCTCCCCCCTTGATATATTCCTCTTTAATTACCTGTATGAAACGGAAAACTGTCCTCCGCGGAAATGGAATAAAAAATCTGCTCCCTTTCGAGGGTTTCACCTGTCTAAGACGGAAAATGCTTTGCCCGCTCAGCCTTGATTTGAAACAAAAATCGCAAGTTTGGTTCCCCTGGCTCTAAACTTAATGCTATGGCCATGCCGCTGGGAGTAGGGGTGCAATTTGGGGGTAGATGTTACCCCATCATGTGAGCCCTGAGCGATGCAGATGGTCAGTGTAGGTTGGGTGTGAAATCTCACGACTGCCCATGAGTGCTCGAGTAGCGAGCCACTACGGAAACTTTCCTTGGTTGCCAGAAGCCAGAGGTGTGGAACTAGATTGACCAATGCCTGCCGCCCTGATCGTACGGCCAGCCGAGAAAAGAGTTAATCAAATCGTTGTAACAATGATGGCAGTGAGGGGTGGCATTGGTGGATGGGGCTAAGGATGGAAGCAAATGAGATGGTCAAACGTTTCTGTTTTTAATAGGTCAAACAGTGGTTCTATGAAAGGCAAGCATTGGTGGTAATTGGATACGTAAGACTGACATGTCATTATCAGACAGGGTAGCAATTGAGAGAGGTGTGAAGTTTTAAACACTGCTTGCCGATCGGACAAGAGATCCTTGATCCCACCGATTGGGCCTCTGAACCCCCCCCCCCCCCCCCCCCCCCCATCCTCCATCTCCCCATCTCCTCCTAAATTCCCCTGTCTAAGACGGAATTTTTTTCTGGCCCCCTTGCGATTCCGTCTTACACAGGTTTGACTGTATCAATTTCTAAATAGTGTCTTGCACATTTGGTAGGGTAATAAATTAGGTAAAAGAGTCAGAAAAGTAGGGTTTTGATAGTTATGATTTGTGGATGATGAGCTGTCTGAGGTGCCATCTGTAAGAAAGGCATTTAAAAATATATAAGGTAATTCAGGATTATGGATATAAGTTGATTGTTGGTGCCAACCTTGTTCTTGTTCATTTAGTACCATATTTATTTGTCTCTATCCAGATCAACTTTCCCGACTTCACATGATTCTGAAACCATTCATGTTGAGAAGAGTGAAGAAAGATGTCGAAAATGAACTCTCTGACAAGGTGAGTCTGAAATATGAGCATAATCTGTAACTTTTGTAAAAAATTGACACCACTTAAACATTTTAAGATGAAATAAGATGATACCATGGTTTATGGCATTGTCATGACTCAGTAGATTTACAGCTGATTGGGGTTGTAGTGGCAGTCTTATTAACTGAAAATATGAATTTTGATATTAATATATTTAACGTCATCCATGTTGAAATGATGAAACAATAAATGTATTATTGATTCCAAGAGTTACCGAGCACTGGTGTTAAATAACAAGTGAACTGACTGTCACATGACCTACTTCAGATCGAGATCCTGGTGTACTGCCCCCTGACCACCCGGCAGCGCATGCTGTACAGGGCCATCAAGAACAAAATCTCCATCGAAGACCTGCTCTACTCCAGCACCTCCTCCGCCTCCTCGGCCCAGTCCACCACCAGCAGTCTCATGAACATTGTCATGCAGTTCAGAAAGGTGAGACATTCCAGTGGGGGAGAGATTTTGACCACTGCACCCTTCTGTTGATGCTAATCCAAAGCTGCCAATCAGTAAATATAAAACGTGTAGTATGTTTTTGAAAGTCTGAGTATATATTCTGTTATAATTCATGTCTCTAATGTGGTAACACAATGGGTGCAGGTGGTTGATAGCTGCGTGGTGTGGTTTGCTTCTTCTTTCCTATCAAACATCTATCGTCCTTATTTCTCCTCTTTTTATGTGTTTATTACTCCCTTGTAAAACCTCCAATTTTCAGCTCTTATTGACCTAGTTTTGTTGCAAGTGTTGTAAAAATGCTTACTAATACAAAAACACTCCAGACAATAGGCTTGCCTACTGTCCTGCATTTCCTAGGATTGTCCCATACTTGAAAATTGGGAATTTGAGAGGACGTTTCAGCCTCCAGCACTCTAATGAGCCATTGAGAGATGAACTTATCGTTATGTGCAAGGAAGCCACCAAGTAGAGCATGGATGTATTTCCCTCATCCACTGTTTGTCCCTTTCAGCTGACAGTGTAGAATGTGTTGGTGGGAAAATTTGGTAGATTTTCAATTTTGCTGCAAGCACAGCAGTCGCAATCTAGAATGGTTTTTATTGGCTTTTCTTGCCATTTCATGTCATAATATTATATGTCCCTGACTGTGTTTTTAAAAAGTTGGTAGGCCTACAATGGTGAAGGTTTATTTTGACAAATGGGTTTAACTTTCTTACTACCTATTCCCTCCAAGGTTTGCAACCACCCAGAGCTGTTTGAGAGAAATGAGCCCAAGTCCGCCCTGTGTTTCCCTACTTCTCCGTTGGTTGTGCCAAAACTAGTCTACAGAGAAGGTATGTGGGTCTGGAATAAAATTTGTTATTTCTTGCTTTAATCGGTGCAGTTTTTACTTTAAACTGTTGAAAAGTTTCTTTGGAGTGTAACGAAACATCATATAGAAGCGCAACTGATAAAAACGAGATCGGTGCAGTTTTTACTTTAGACTGTTGAAAAGTTTCTTTGGAGTGTAACGAAACATCATATAGAAGCGCAACTGATAAAAACGATGCAGGTCATGCCTAGTGGTCACATTTTTCTTCTCTGTGTCTCCCTCCTCAGTTTTTTGTTATCACACATAATTTTCTTCTTTCCTTCACTCCTCAGTTGTTATAACACATTTCTTCTCTCCTTCACTCTTCTGTTATCATACATCTCTTCTCTCCTTCACTCCTCAATGGGTGGTTGGCAGGTGCTCTGGTGTGGTTTGCTTCTTTCTTTCCTATAAAAATTCTATCGTCTCTATCTCCCTTCCTTCTTTTTTGTGTTTTTTACTGTCTTGTAACACCTCTGATCTTCGGGACCTATATGACCTTATTGTGTGTTGCAAGTGCCATAAAACTCCTACTAAAACTAAAACTCACTCCTCAGTCGTTGTTATCACACGTTTCTTCTCTCTTTCTCTTCTCAGTCGTTATCCCACACTTCTCTCTTTCACCTCTGTCGTTATTATCACATTCTTCTCTCTTTCACTCCTCAGTCGTTGTTATCACACATTTCTTCTCTCTTTCACTCCTCAGTCGTTGTTAAGACATGTTTCTTCTCTCTTTGACTCCTCAGTCGTTGTTATCACATGTTTCTGCTCTTCACCCTTCCTCAGGTTACTTGGAGGACTGTCTCCCCAGTCGTCACCACATTGTGTTCAACATGCTGTACATATTTTCACCTGACAACATCCACAGATCTCTGTTTGGACAGTCATCAGGTTTGTTTACTATCTGTGGATGTATGCTTGTGTATATGGTACAGGCATACACATATATTTAAGAGGCACACACACTGACACACGCGCGCACACACACACACGCACACGCACTCATATGGAAGTGTAGTTTTGTGCAAAAATGTCCTGTATTCTAGTGTAAAATTGTTTTAAAGTATGTTTTGTCCAATCAAATGTTCTATGGGGATGGAGTATGAGTGTGAGTTTGGGGGGGAGGGGTGTAGCAGTAATCTAGTGATAAGATAGATGATGAGAGTCTCACAGTCTTCCCATGTCATCTGTTGAGCACAAGAAGCAATGTTTTTCCTTTTTTGACAAAGTTGATGGAAGTAATTTCTTATATTCAATGATGGTATACTTACCCATTACTTATTATCACTGTTTAATTGCTTAATTGCTTTTCTCTTTGCCAGAGCCACTGGCTGATGCCAGTTCTCAGAGCTGTTTCTCGTTCTCTCGCCTGATCAACTTGTCCTCAGGGGAGCTTCATGCCCACATGTATGGGGGACTCCTGGTCAGGTTGGTATCTCTTGCTGTGTTTTTGAGACCCGGGTGTTCCCTCCGCTTGAAGGACAGTGTAATTAATGCCTGTCCTAACCTTAGTATGGGTATCCTCACCTTTTAATTTAATTGGCACAGGAGAAGACCAATGGGTGTGAACATGATTATGATGACATCTTAAACACATTTGGCGGTCACAGAATGTTGTGAAACTGAGATTCGGAAATATTTCTTTTATGTAATGGCTTTCATTTGTTTTTAATATAAACTCTGCTTTTCTACTTGTTGATCAAATTGGAAAATCATTAAATAAGTCTTGTATCATGATCAAGAGACATGAATGACTTATCTTATTTCTCCATCCTTTTTTTAGATGGCTTGGAGTGTTCATCTTGATGAAAGCTGCTTATAGGATACATCAGCACTTTGTCTGGCAAGAGGAGAAGAGGTACATCAGCCTTTATTTTTGCATTTTCAACTTTTTGTGTTCTTTTAAACATTGCTTCCTATTTTATGTACCTGTATGTATGTTTTTATATACTTTTGTTGTTTTCCATTGGACAGAAATAAACAAAAGGGTCTCACTTCTTTTCTGTCTCTCTGTACCGTTTTTCATCTTGCTTTACTAACTGAAGATGACAGAAAAAATGATAATAAAGGATAGCATTTGTATAGCGCAAAAATCCCATTCAACTGCAAGCTCTATGCGTTTTACAGTCTATATTATTACCCCAGGAGATCTGATAGCGTTCTGAAACAATGTCAGCTTCCTGGAAAGTGCACAGTGCAAGCTGCCTTTTTATAGGTGCTAAAATACTAACATACTGACAAGATTTTTCTCTGTCTATGACTAGATACTCACTAAAGTGTCTAGCCCAAGGACACAGCGTCGGTCCAAGGCTCGAACCCCTGAAGTCTGCAACCTTACGATTTTGACTCTGGTAGCCTGACCACTAGACTACCGACACCACACAAGAGAAATGACGTGTTTTAGCATGCCGTGTACAACAAGCAATATGTAGTGTAACAACTTTCTAATAATGAACAAGTTTCTAATGTTAAACAGAAGTTTTTAGAAATATTACTGTTTCAAAAAGTGAATTGATTCTTACTTTTAAGAATGGTTTCAAATATTGGAGAAAATGAACTGTTGCTGGAATGCAGAATGCTATTTTAAATTTGTGTCAATGTATCTTGTCCTAGGACACAGTGTCTTTTACCAAGAACACAATGTTGAGCATGGACTGGATTTCAAACCCTCAGCTGTACTGTTAAAGTCGAGCTGCCCAACCACTAGACTAATGATACCACTCTTATAAATTATTACTGGGTTTAGATCTATATGTGTATTCCTGATCTGTACCTCCCACTCTTAACTTTTCTAGCTTCAGGTCCAGAGACTGTTTGCAGCTGACGCCCTTACAGACAAGCAGCGCCCCGAGCATCTCCTTGAGCCCAGTGCTTCAGGACCTTGTGTTCACCAGCCACACCTCACGCCTCATCTCACACGAGTCCGTCGTCCTCCACTACATCCCTGAGACTTTTGCCCACCGACAGATTCGGCTGAAACGCCTGAGACAGCTGGCTTTGTCCAAGAAAAATCCTTTGAGCCCTCCACATTCCCCGACAAAGGTACAACCCCCCCCCCCCCCCAAAAAAAAAAAGAACAAAAAGCAAAAAAACCCCCCCAAACTGTGCAGAGTTAAAAAGGCAAACAGGTTGTCGGGTGTTGAATATTTTTAAGTGCTATGACACTGGTTGATCATTCTTTCGATCAGTATTCTTCATTTATAAATGCTTTGTTACTTGTCCGTTAAATAGTGTTAAGTAAAAATAAAGTGCACGCGGAGCAGCGAGGGGTGAAGAAATGTAGGCGTTATGACTCAGTTGTGATAAAGTTGCCAACATGAAAGTCTATAATTTGACAAATGTGTTGTGATATTTTCTTGGATGTATTGTCTGTGCCTGCTTGTCTTCGTTTTTTTCTATGCCTTTACTGCAAGCATTGGACCAGTGCCCAGCCTTTGAAATGACTAATTTTGTATGTTGTGGGGCGTAAAATTGTGCAAGGACAAGCTTCTTCCTCCCTCACTTTCACCTTATTCCACCTCCTATCTTCTCTCGTAAGACTCTTGTCTTTTTTCTTCTTCCTCACAAACAAGCCCACATGCCAGTTTAGCAGTTAAAAGTGAGTATGTGCTTGTTAATCACTTAAATGTATCCTCATTGTACTTGTTTCTAGTCATAGTTATGCCCATTGGAAACTGCATTCAATGACAGTTATTGTGTGGATATACTTCTTTCTACTTAAACTGAAACTTTATGTATTAAAATATTTACTGTGCTTTCACATTACAGTCACCGGTTCGTAGTCCATCTAATGAGGAAGTGAACCTCCCCCTCCACCCACATAAGCTCCGCCCTGCCCGGGTTCTGAAGTGCCAGCCGATAGATGTCCCCTCGTTCTTCTCTATTCTCATTCCAAAGGTTGGTAAAAGACATAGACGTAGATATTTCCGTCACAACAGACGGTAATGTTTGTGCTGATATTGCTTTCTTTTTATGTTGTTGTGATGATGGCATATGTGGCTGGTTAGTCCAACTCAGGCTAGAAAAAGTTGGTAGCAGAAAGTGTTAGAAAAGTATTGACATCCTGTGTCTCTTTAGATGGTTCATGTATGCCTTTACTGTTGCCAATTGGTGCTGAAATGCTGGGAGGGGGAGGGGTTGATTTACATTAAAGATAAATGAAGTGGAATTCCCTGAAGTAAAATCTGTGGAGTAGAAAAAAAAGAGATGTGCCTTTTCCTGAGACTTCGGATCACATCCATTTTGTTCCTTCCTGTACCCCAGATTGCGTGTCCAAGCCGATCGGAGTACACAGTGGACCGCAGTGCCCAGTGGCAGCTCATGAGGAGACAACTGTGCGGGACGCTCAAGGCCAAGCAGTCACTGCTGTATGGTGAGCCGGAGAAGGCAGAGTACGAGAGATGGCCATCCCACTACTTCTCTCCCCTGGAGCATGCTGGTCTGTGTGCTTTTCAACCTCGATACGGCTGGACTCATGTTCAGATCCCAGGTTTGTGGACTGTGGTCAGGAGACCGAAACCTGAATGTAAAACTTGTGCTGTTTTTAATTTTATTTATCTATTTCATTTGGTCTGTAAGTTCTTGAAGCCAGTTTGTAGATGGCAGGTGCCCTGATGTGGTTTTCTCCTTCTGTCTTTTCTGTTTCCATATAGTCCTATCTTGGTAATAACACCATTTGATGGAAAAAGTGATTGTTTTTTTACAGGTCTTAATAGCGAGAAGTACAAATTAGCCATCTGATATTTATACGCTTAATTGAAAATCAGGTAGATGAATAAGAATAAAGTATGCAGATGTGTGGTCGTGGGACTTAACTTAAACAACACATAGCTTCCGTCTTTTTTGTTGTTCTTTCCTTTTTACTTCAACTATAAGGCACTATGAACAGAACCTGTTTATGTCTAGTAAGTAAGGCATTAAACATAAACCAAATTAAATGTGTTGTTTTTTCTCCTTGTTTCGTTGTTCAGACAAAGAATCACTGGTCAGTGATGCAGGCAAGCTCTTTGTGCTGGACTCTCTGCTGCGCCGACTCAAAAATGAGGATCACAGGGTTCTCATTTATTCCCAGATGACTCGGATGATTGATCTATTAGAGGTAACCCGTTCACTTCACTTTCCTCTTGAATGTTGTGTGATCTCTTGCTATTTACGAGGCTCCGACAAAGTGCTCTTTGAACTAGGTTTGTGAGGAGTTTTCTTGACTCTCCAGCCTCATTGTCCGATCAGAGATATATTAAGTTGGCGGTTGTGCTTTTTACCTTAACTAACAGGATACCTGTTGGTTTTTTTGTGTGTATTTTTGAAGGTCAGGCATTGTGAAATGTTGTCACTTTTTTGTTGTTGTTTCATTGTTAAAATTTATGTCTTTAACCTTTTGTGTGTTACTTCAATGTTTCCTGAAATAACAATTGAGAAGTCATATGTGTTGTCTGATATGTGTTGAACTGCAAAATAATTTAATTTGGAAAGAAGTATGTGAAGATATGTTTACTCTTTATTTTTGTGTCTGTTCAAACATTTTAAGAACAGTGTTTCTTTTGTTTGGTTAGTGTCTTAGGTGCTTGTGTATTTCATCTCCATAGCTCTTTACGGTTACCATTATTTCTCCCTTCCCATGGATCTCTAGTTCCTGTTCTGTAAAATCCTAAAGTAAATGGGTCAACGAAACATGTTCCCACACTGAAGAGAACATGTAGTTTCAAAAGCTTTCCGTATCTTGATCGCTGGCTTTTACATTAACTTTTGTTGTCGTCTATAAAAATCAATTCATTTGAAAACTTTTATTTCTTTGCTACAGGAGTACATGTGGTACAGAAAGCACACATACATGAGACTGGATGGGTCCTCCAAGATCTCGGAGCGGCGTGACATGGTGGCCGACTTTCAGACGCGCTCGGACATCTTTGTGTTCCTGCTCAGCACCAGGGCGGGTGGATTGGGGATCAACTTGACGGCAGCAGACACTGTAAGACATAGGGGAGAGATTATCAATGTGGATGTACTATGTCCATATTAATTTATTGATATCAGTTTTACAGCCTTCTGTAGTGTGCTTGAATGAGTCCGTGTTGAACAATAGTTAATTTTGGTTAAGTTTTGGTTCTGATATTAAGATTTCAAATAATTAAAACTTTTTTGTTTGTTATGATTTTGTGACATTGAGGATTCAGCTTTTGTGTTATCTTTGTATGGTGAGCTTTAACAGGTGTTGGAAAATCATTGTGATTTCAGCGATATTAAAATATTCTAGTTTTGTTATTCTATTCCTACTGAGTGTTTTGTAATGCAAAAGATATGAAGAAAAACTCAATATGAGTATTTGTGTCCTCCAGGTGATATTTTACGATAGCGACTGGAACCCAACAGTGGACCAGCAAGCCATGGACCGTGCACATCGACTCGGTCAGACGAAGCAAGTGACGGTGTACCGGCTCATCTGTAAGGGTTCTATTGAGGAGAGGATCCTGCAGAGGGCCAAGGAGAAGAGTGAGGTGAGCGGATGATTTTGGGGCTTTGCTTTAAGTTGCTCTGTGTGGTGGTTTTGATGGCCTGAATGTAGGTGGTTGGAGGGCACCGCTTGTTGATGCTTCTTCTTTACAGCTCCTATGTTGTTTTTATTTGTCAGCTTTTTTTTTTCTGGCAGTAAATGACTCATTTAATGAATGTGCATTTTTCACTTTCAAAATGAATTTACTTTATGTAGTTTGTGGGTGGTTGGTGGGCGCTTTTGGAATGGTTGACTTCTGCTGTCCTATCAAACATCTATCAATGTTCTTTCTTTCTTTTCTTTATATGTTACTCTTTAGCAGCACCTTTAATCTTTTGACAAATGACCTGTGTTGCAAGTGCCTATTGAAAAAAAAGAAAGAAAAAAAAAAAAAGGAAAGCAGTTTAACCTCACATCCTTCATCCAGGAGTGGGCTGGGTACTGCAATTTACTGAAGGTGAACTTTGAAAAGTACAGCTACCTTTCTGGTGGTATAGCTTCACTATTCATTTTATGCCATAGGAACAGTCTATTGACATTTTCTTTACACAAGTCTTTTCCAATTATGAGGCCTTTTACTTACACTTGCCTGATATAGGCTGTTATGTCAAATAAAAGTATGTATAGATTGTTTTTTTCCTACCGGGCTACTGTTTTTTTTCCTCCAAAGTGCAGTTTTCTATTGCTTGAGAATTTGTATAAAATGTAATAAAATGTATGTAAGTGAGTTATAGAAGAATAAAAAACTATAACATTTGAAAGTCAGAAAGTATTAACGATAAAAAGGCATGAAAAAACACTCATGACTTTGAGGCTAAACACCAATCTTTCGAAGTACTGGTTACTGAATTTAGGTTCCAAACGAGGTCAATTGCTTAAAGTGGAAAGACAATAGAAAGAAAGGAAAACTTATTTCTATCCCTGTTGTTATTTATTTCAATGGCATAGTATGTGAAGGAGAATCTTGAATCAACTCATGAGTGACACATCTCTTAAAAACCTTAAATTGTCCATCTTTAAACAAGAGGGTTTCACAAACAGACAATTATTACTTATCACCTTAGCTTAATGCCTTATTGCCTCCCATCTAAAAAGCATGTCACTAACATTGCTTAACTGTAAACTGTTAATAGCATCAATTAGTCTTTTATTGATTGCATTCAATAGAATGTTGTTGTAGCTGCGGTTATTTGACACGCCTTTGCTTTCCGGACGTTCACAGATCCAGAAAATGGTGATTTCTGGTGGCAACTACAGACCGGATTCCCTGAAGCCGAGAGAAGTGGTGTCCCTTCTCATTGATGATGATGAAATGGAAAAGAAGTGTATGTTCATAAAGATTTTTCTCTTCTGTGTTTTTATTAATTTGTATTATTTTATTATAGTAGAGGGTTTTACGGCGCTCGCAACTGCATATATATTTGTATGATTATGTGACGTACTGCACTGCAACCTGGGCTTGATTTTGTTCATTCAACATAATAGTTTACATGTTACTAGCTGGGCCCCCTTTCGATGAAAGGAATGATCGGTGCTTTAATATCAACTGAAAGTCATTGGCCTACTATATTTACACTCTACTGGAATGGGGCAATAAATTTTGAGAGATGCAAAAAATTATAAGGTCTAGATCTATACTCTCAAAACAAAATGCGCCTCACGAAATATCTCTTCCGAATTTTCTAAAATTACAGAGACAAAAGCGTCGGCCTACAAAAGCGATCGGCGAAATAAAGAAATTTAGTTTTTTTACAGCAAAACTGTCTCAAAACTGAAAAAACCAAGGGCGCCATGCTCTGGAGAATATTTTAAAGAATCTTTTGGTGAAAACCGCATGTCAATCGATGCAGCCATTAAAAAGCCTTTTGAATAGCAAAATTCGGCCACCGCAAATAGATAATAGATGTATGAGCAATTTTGTATACAAATTCTGTTTATGCTTATTTGGACAAGATTTGTCTGTATAGTGTGTAGATGAAGATAATAAATGGTAGTAAATTTAGTACTGGATAATATGAAGTATGATTGTTCTATTGGGTGTTATAGAATAATACACTCTATTTTGGCTTGTTTTTTGCTTACCCATTTTTCAACTGTGTTTTTTTGCCTTTGTCTCTCTCCTCAAGACACTGAAGTAATGACTGTATTTTTAATCTTTTACTTTCAGTATTGACACGCCAATTTGAGAAAATTGGAGATGATCCAAATATGGGCACAATTTTCCGTAAAAGGAAAAGGGAGTATAAGGTGAGTCTTGAAATATCCGCCAAAGTAATTGTTCTCGTTCATGATTTTGATGAAAGTGGGATGATGATTCACTGATGTACTTGAAAGTGAAAGCAAAATACGGTGAACTGTATACCGTTTTAAAAAGAAATTTGTGAATTCAAGCCATTTGCAAAATATTAAAATGGACGCTACTGCATTTGAGTCCAATGAGAGAATTTGTATGGCTTTCTAGTATTCATCACATTTACCAGAATTCAGACAAAACTGCTACGATGTGTCGCATCTGTTTCAGAAAAAATGAACGGGCAAAATGCAAAAATGCTTTTTAAAAAATAAAGTGTGCAATAAATAAATGGTTGCATTAAATCATATGTTGTCGCTGCTTTTGGTTATCTTTGATGAGTAATGATTTTTAATGTTACCATTACTTAGATATTTAGGCAGAAAAATGAAGGGCAAACCATGAATGCTACTTCAGATCTGGCACTTCATGAATATGACGAATAGATATCTAAGAGTTTAATGTTGGTCTGTAGATTTGACTGATTGTGATGAAAAGTAATCAGTGAAATTCGAAATCCTTAATGTTTCTTCAGTTTCAGGGTAACATAAAAATTGGAAATGTCATGCTGGACATCAGATGTTATATTCTCACCATTGCCTTTAAAAAAATTTACAGAAACGAGAAGGCACGAAGAAAAAGAAAGCCGCAGCAGCAGCCGCAGCAGCAGCAGCAGCCGCTGCTGCTCAAGCCGAGGAAAACAACATCACCATCCCTGCTCCCGACACTGAATCTGTGGCCAGCAGGGACTCTTTCTCCATGCCGGCCAGCCCTCAGAGCGGGGTGAGTAGACGGGTTGTCTTCCTTGAGGACAGTGGATGGGTGGGGGGAGAGGAGTTGTTGGTCAACTGAAATAATAGATAAGAGGTGCTGATATTGTCGCTGGATGGACTCTTGGTCAAGGATTATAGATGGGGGGAAAGTTGGAACATTTGAAGCTTTGCCTAATTGGGAGTTTAGGATGATGGTATCTTTCTTGACCTCTGCAATGGCATGGATTACATTTAAGGATTGCATTTATGTTGGGCTTTCTCTGTACTTTCTATGAAGATGACCTACTCATGTGCACTTATTTATCGAGTGTGTGAAAGGAGGGAACTACTTTTGGGTCCGGACTTGTGAAAGCAGGTTTTTCAGAGAACGTCAAACTGTGACACTGGGAATGGGATAAACAGTTGAACCTGCTCTAAAGGCCACCTGTCCAAGACAATCAACTGTACTAATGGCAACAATCGACCCCTGCTTTTTCCAACATAATGACCCTGTCCATGACATTCACTTGTCTAAGACAAAGTACTCTTGTCCTAGACGATGGGTGATGGACTTGGTCAGTTTTGACAGCTTTTTAGATGGTCACTGGGATGTGTTCATAAACCAGACGTGATGACCTTAGCTGTAAAACAAGATGCTGCTTAATGGGGACTACCATGGTGTGATAATTAAGTAAAATAATGTGTCATGTATTGTGTTGTAATTTGTGAATTTCTGAATGTTTTGCTTCTTGCTACTTTTACCTCATCTTATCCTATCTTGTCTTTTACTATTTACCAGAAGTCTGTGGGCAGCGAAGCTCTTTCTGTGATGACTCAGGATGATAGCAACGAGGGAGGTCTGGTCATTGTGGACGACGCCCACTCTCTATTCCCTCCAGGTTAGTACGTCCAATATCTCACTCACTCTCACTCGTCCCTTGACTTGTGCCGTTGAGGGGAACTGAGCACTGAAGATGTCCAAATTTTTTTTTCATATGTCCTCCTGTCTGTTGTCCCATTGAGTTCTCCTGTTGATGAACCAGTTCATTCTTTGATGTTGTCAGACCAGCTTTTTTTTTGTCTTTCCCTTTTTTTTTGCTATCTTTAACTCTTTAACCATGTCTGGACAGTGGCAGCGTCTGGTAGTCGAGATCCGTAACCATGGCTGGATGGTACCACCGTCCGATGCAAAGTTATTATTGTATTATGGTACTGGCCGAATATACAAAAGTGCGAGGTAACAAGCCTTTAGTTTGACCTGGAAGTCAAAGATAAATGATTTCTATTTCTGGTAATACTTTATTGATCGGTTGGACATGAAACAAGCGGTTTTAAAAATGTAATATGTGGGGTCGCATTTCCACAAACACGAGAGAATTACGCGGAAACGCGATTTTAAATTGCATGGTTAAAGAGTTAACAGTGCAGGCAACATACAATTATCTGTTTGTCCATCAGTCTGTCTGCCCAATGCCATTTTAACTGCTCCATTTATGGGCTTAACTGTTGGCACAGAGAGAAGAAAAAAGGAGAAATTTGTTAGTTGCCCAGCAATTCTTGTTGTTTATCTTATACTTATGTTTTTTTTTGACACTTTATACGTAAGAACCTTATTCTATAGTAATATTTTGCTTATGGTTACTTTAAAAAAAATCTATCTCATGTGTATCACCTCTTTTTCTAGTGAGCAGTAAGCCGATCCAGCCACCGAAGAGGGGCAGAGGTCGTGGCCGTCCCAGGGGGTCAGGGGTGGGAAAAAGGCCGAGAGGACGAGGCAGCGCGAAGAAAGCTATGTCTGCCGCGGAGATTGCTGGGGCCCAGGCGGGGATGACAGCTGCCTATGCCGCCTACGGCTACAACTTCACGGGGAAAGGTAAGAGTAAGTATATGAATTCATTCCTTCTTTATGATAGTGCTCTTTTTTGTTAAAACGATTAGTGTGGGTTTCATGAAGTGATCAAAAAAGGGAATTAAAAGCTCAGTGAAAATTCCTTGGGGTTTGATGATTTCATGGGCAGTTTAAATGTTTTATTCTTTTCTTCTTTTTGCTCATTCTCTGTCCTTTTTCAGCCTTTCTACTCCTTCCGACTGATCTGTGTATATTTTGTCAAGCCACCTTGCAACTTGACCCATATGAGAGATTTATTCCTGGAGAATTATGGATGTAAAAAAGTGCTCCTGGGTTCTCAAACTTTGTATTCGCTGAAACCATGGACACAGCAAAATTGAAGATTGGACATAACATATTCACAAGTTTGTTAGGTGTGAGGATTACTGTGCTCAATTTAGATTTTCATTGCCTGTGGTGCCGTATTATTTTTTAAATGGGTGGTTGATAGTCTCAGGACTTTATAGAACTGTTTTATTTATCAACTGTTGACTTATGATCCCTTATTTGGGCTGTACTGTCTTTATGAATGAAATGTAATAACAAACGGGTGAATGATGAACTTACAGGTACTCTTTTTTTTTGTTATGTCGAAGAAAATATTTTACCCCCGGGGCAGTGCCACTGACTGAAGTGTCTTTAGGCCATTCCCAAAGGGGGAACATATCTCGTTCAAGCATAGTAGAATTGTAAATGGGCTGACTCATGTCACGCTCATAACTGTGCCTGATCTACAACAGGGAACTGCTGCTTTTTCTTTCCTGATCCTTACTATTGTCATTTTCCTCTATTTCTTTTGTATGTTTGTCACTCCCTTGTGACCTGCTATTTTGGGGTGCCTTGATAGTCAAAGCAGACCTTGTGCTGTTGAAGCTAGAGAGGTGGGCAGTCTAAGTCTGATTCCCTGTAAAGATTTTTCTTCTCCAGTGGCGCTCATATGACCTTATGCAGTTGCGAGCGCCGTAAAACCCTCTACTTAAAAAAAAAAAAAAAAGACTTCTCTGTTGACACCCACCCCTTGGCGCTCATATGACCTTATGCAGTTGCGAGCGCCGTAATACCCTCTACTATTAAAAAAAATAAAGTAATAGAAAATATTTATATTCTATGAAAATCAGGGGTTTGGTTCCAATGTCTGTTAAGATGTTTTTAAGGTTTGTAACAGTGTAGTATCATATGTAACATTGTGTTTTTCTTTCCATCAAGGTTTGCAACGGATTAGTGCAATATGTAACATTATGTTTTTCTCTCCACTGTTTCAGCAACAGTACAGTCGTCCAAGCCTCCCAACACGTAGCACTGATACTCTTGTTCTTCTGGCTGTTCCTTCACATTGGCTTTTGACCAGGAGGAAAGGAATTTGCACGTCCTGTTAACAAATGAGAGAGAGAAAGAGAAAGAGAGATTCAAAGAGAAAGAAAGGGAAACAATGGTCCAGCTTGGCAGATGCTGTGATACATGCCAAATGCCTTTGCTCAAGTGTGGCCAGAAAGATAGAGTGTATCCATGTGTGCATGTATGTGTGCGTGTACGCATACGTGTGCGCGTGCGTGAATGTGTGCCTGTGCTTGTACATGTAAGTGTGCATGTGCTTGTGCGTATGTGGGTGTGTGTGTATTTTTTATTTTGCACTATGATAAGCAGTTCTGTTGATGCCATGCTGATGTTGCTGTTGCTGCCTCTGTTATATTCATCACAAGTAGCTGTGCACTGTTTAGTTAATAGTTAGTCTATATGGCTTCAACGGCATATTGGTTTTTCCTTGTGATGGAGCAGCTGTGCCAGGTGCTTGGTTTGGTGGGCGTCTGAGATTCTCAGGCCAGCGTGTCTGACAAATTTTGATGAACTCTTGTGAATCTGCATGTCAAGTAAAAAATGTTATGAACAATTTAATGTCTACAATGTATCACTTAGAATGAGTTTTTTGTTTGTTTTGGATGTGATTGGCAGCTGTAGTATTGTACATTCTTCTTAAGGTGTGAGATTGAAAAAGAAATGAATGTGGTGGCTGGCCAAGGGAGTTGTTCTTGAGAGTTTCTGGATTTTGTTCAGGAATGCAGCTATAAGACTTGGTCCAGTTGTAACGCTGTCATAGTAGGTAGTCCAAACTGGCTGGCTGGGTAGGTGGGTGAATTCACAGACTTTTGTGGTTTCTATATCTTCATGGGCTGCTATGTCCACTGCATCAAAATAAAGATCCACCTTTCTTTTCTTATAAAATATATAGTTTTATGTATTTGAAGTTGTGTGTACTGTTCATTGAAAAAGCTAGGTTTGTACAGCTTTTGCGAATACAAAAACAATCCAGTCCTACATCATCCTGTGCCTCGTGTGAACAAGGCATATGAATTTGTTACTACAACAAAAAGAAAGTCACATAAATCAGCTTCAAGCTGATTATTGTTCGTGGTGGATTCAAACTGAGCTTAGCTTTGAGATTACGGTTTAAAAACAGGGCCAAGAATGTCATGATTAAAAGTTTTAAATCACTGGTAAATTTATATGCAAATGGAGCCAAATGTAAGATTTATTAAAATGTGCTAAAATAAAACACATGGGCGATTATTTACGTGAACAGCGAGCCTGTAACAAAATGTGACCACTTGTTTGATTTTGCTGCCAGCACAAATCAATTAGTTGTCGAGAGTTTAAGTATAGTGAAATGTATCAACATAATTACATTCATTTTCTTCTGGGAAAGAGCAAGTCAGATAGACAGAAATCCCTCAGGGAAAGTAAAGAAATAGAACCCACCAGTGGCACCTTCCAACCGCCCACATTTTGTCCGAGAGCCGCCGGCCATTGTTTGCTGCTATGATGACCCTAAAGTGTGTAACAAGATTTTGCTACTTTTATAAAAGATTTGCTGGATGATTTTTTGTTATGTTATTGTTATTCACTTTTGGACTTCAGTTCTGGTCTGGCTGGTTTCTTTAGTGCTTTCTCAGTGTCTGTCTCTTTGTGTCTCTCATCTCTTCCTCTTTCCCTCCCTCCTGATCTCCCTCTTTGCCTGTCTCTTTCTCTGTCTGTATCTGTTCATGTGTGTGTGTGTGTGTGTGAATGTGTATGCGTGCATGATTGTTCTGTTTCTATTTCCTTCTCTTTGATATCTCTGATTTTCTCCCCTTTCATCGTGTTCCTTTTTCTCTGCCAACTCCTCCTTCTGGCCTTGTGCGTCGTTAAACATTTGCTGGACTTTTACATATAAGATCTAAATCAGACAGGGTTCCCATTTGTATGTACACAGTCTCATTCGCACATTTGCACTCTCGCATGCGCACAGACACAGGCACGCACACACACACACACACACACACACACACACACACACACACACACACACACACACACACACACACACACACACACACACAAACACACAAACACTTACACATGTATGCATTTATGATTGATGTGACTGCCCTGACTGCAGTAACTTATGTGAAAAGGGAGCTCCATTTGCGATATATATATATATATATATATATATATATATATATATATATATATATATATATATATATATATATTTAGTTCTTTGCCTGATGTACCTATTTATTATATAATTATGATAAAATAACTTTGTTAGTTTAAATGAAAATGTACAAGTTCAAGCTACAATTGTATTTATGTATTGTACGGTTGTCGCTCGACCGTGTGAAGTGGTTATGTGTATAGAAAAGTGTTCATGATAGTGTGACTTTGTTGAGGGTGAGTGCACCATGTGTTCATGTAGATAGACTAAAGAGAGAAAGGAGAATGAAAAAAGGGAGAGAAGGAACAAGAGGACTAAATGATGGTTGAGAGATTGTGCATGTTGGATTATGTGTGTCACATAGGAGGAGAGACAGGTTGAGAGAAAAAGAGAGACAGATTGAGAGAAAAAGAGAGAGACTGAGAGAAGAGAGAGATTGAGATAAGAGAGAGGAGATGGAGGAAGGGGGAGGGGGAGAGAGAGGGATGGATGATAATACATTTTATCAAGCACATCTTCACTTGATTCAGTTTATAGTTTGACGAGCTTTTCGCTCCTTCAAAGATGGGAAGAACTTACAGTAGTTGTATCTGTAGGCCTATACTTGTTGTCTTGTGCCAGCACTTTGCTCTTTCTTGCACTGGTTGCTGTTGTTTTGAGTTTGTCATGGCATTGAACTCGGTTGTATTCTCTCTGACTCAGATGTTGAACTGAGATATCGTGATTATGTTGGACAAACATAAGCTAATATTTGACTACCGTAAGGCCATGATGATACAACTTCAATATCTTTTAAGATTTAAACATTCTGTCGGCAAGCTGGTCAAATGTGCTAAGCTGAGAAAGTAACATTTTTCATGAGTGAGAAAGACTGTTTCTTTCTTTTAACAATGGATCCTTCATTGTGTATTTTTTTTTTAACATTTAGAATTTGAATTTCGACACAATATTTCATGAACACATGCAACCGATACAATGGATTAAGAAAGTGCGATAACAAAAATTTTCAAAATTTCGAGCTTAGTTCATTTTAACATCTGGTTAACGAAATGTCTGTCGTCATTTTCAAAAATACAGTTTGTGCAGTTCTCACAATTTTACAGGAGAGCTGAAAAAAACCCTGGAATGTTGTTATCTAGAAAATGCATGCTTTGCAAACATCCCAAGTCAATACATGTATTCTTAAGAATACAATTTTGATCAAATTTTTCCTTATTATCTTTAAGCAAATGTTGTTTTATTGGTAACAGCATTCAGTTTTTTGTCCCTCCTGTAAAATTGTACAAACTGCTTATACTGTATTTTAAAAAATGACGGCTTTACGACCTGTAGTGTTTTTGTGTCTGCCACTTGTAGTTGAACTTTTGGTAAATGTAGATTCTAGGTCACATATGTTTTACAAATAGCTGATGTTGCCAAATATGACTGGGCAGTTAGTATATGATTCATGGTGCTTTGTGTTACTGTAAATAACAGGATCTGCGCGTATGTATGTCTCTCTCTCTCTGTGGTTATATATATTTATATAATGTGTGTGTGTGTTAGTAAGTGTGTATGTATGTGTGTGTGTGTACATGTACATGCCTGCATGCGCATGTGCGTGTTAGGGTGTATGCTTGGGTGTGTGTGTGTGTGTATGCGTGTGTATGTGTGGGTGCGCTTGTTTTTATGAGAATGTAAGTAGTGATGTAATTCAACGATTCTGTTCTCACAGTTGTAGAAAAGTTTGATTAACACTGGTCTTTCTGTTCTTTACTGTGAAGTGTTACCCCAGATTGTGCTCTGTTGATATTATTAAAATGCCTGATGTAGATACTGTTTTATTGATGCTTCAATGAACACATTTTACGCTTTCTACACATCGGTGTTGTGGTGAATTTTTTTCTTCCTTGTCTTTATGATTTTACTGCAGAGGAGGGTGGGTATGTGGGTGGATGATGGATGGTGAGTGGGTGGCTGTTGTGAGTGGTGATAGTTAAGTTTTTCAGTTGGAAATGCTTCTTGGCAGACAGAATTGGCTACTACTGAAGTGTTTTGGTGTCATGCTGTACCTTGGTGCAGATGGCTCTGGTTTGAATTTATAAGGGAACTCTCCTGTCCTTGGGTTGTTCTGGGGAGTCTTCAGGGCTTTGCTTGATCATGGGTGGTTGGTGGGTGCTCTGGTGTGGTTTGCTTCTTGTTTCCTATCAAACGTCTATCGTCTTTATCTCTCCTCCTTTTTTGTGTTTGTTACTCTCTTGTAACACCTCTAATCTTGTGGCGCTCATATGACCTTATGCAGTTGGGAGCGCCGTAAAACCTCTACTAAAAAAACTTAAAACACTTTGCCATCATATTTCGTGGAAAATCCAAAGAAACAAGGTGGTAAACATCGCAAATCGGCGACATGATGCGGCAAAGTGTTAATCTTCGGCACTTTTATTACCTTATTGTGTTGCAAGTGCCAGAAAACACTTACTGAAGAAAACAGTCGCTTGATCCTGTTGGAAGCAGGTTGTTAGAGGGCGCCTCTAGTAGGTCTTTCTTCTGTACCTTTCCTCTATGACATGTATTTCTGTCGAGTGTTTTTACTTTTTCTCTGCACTAAATGACTATGATTGTTGGACGGCCAACTTTCATCTCAAACTTTACCGCCTTGAAAAGCGCCACTACACTAGACCGTCTATTTTTGTGACTGGGTGGTTGGCAGGTGCTCTGGTGTGGTTTGCTCCGTCTTTCCTATAAAAAAACCTAACGTCTCTATCTCCCCTCCTTCTTTTTTGTGTTTGTTATTCTCTTGTACCTGTAGTAACAGCTCTAATCTTCGGCATTTATATGACCTTATAGTGTTGCAAGTGCCGTAAAACTCGTACTAAAACTAAAAACGAACTTTTTGAGGCTAAGTATGGGGCTCTCGTGGTGGTGTTCGCCTCTCATTCAATAGGTCCTGGGTTTGCAACCTGACAGCGACAGAAAATTTTCTTTCTTCTCCAAAGTTTTTTCCTTTCACCTCCAGCTCTTTAATCATGTTCTGTCTTCTGCCTTCATCTCCACTTTCTCTCCCCCTCCGCCTGGGCTCTTACTCTTTATACTGTTACTCCTGGCTCCTTCTTACTGCTGTCTTTCTGCCAGGCCCCACCCCGTATCTTAGTAAGGTAGATAAGATCTAACACCATGTCTTCTCGGGTAAGAGCGAAAAAATGTCGGAGGTTCCATGTGTATGTTGCACACGTTTAAGGTCCTTGGTCTTAAAATCGATAAGAATAGGTTTTGGCCGCCACCTGGACAAAATTCAAAATAAGTTCTTATCAAAGCTGAAAAGGCTTATCAACTGTGCACTCAATTGACCTTATACAGTTGTGAGCGCCATAAATCACACACGAAAACATTTTAACGCCCCTTGGAACACTGTTACATCATTTAAGAGGTGAGACCTTTTAATTTCATGTCCATCTCCAATTGGTGGATCAAGCTGAATAAATACAGACCGTTGACACACACACACACACACACAGAAACCCGCGCGCGCGCACACACACACACACACACACACACACACACTAGAA